CCGGCCTAACTGTGCCAGTCTGCTCCTTCATGGACTCAGCAGCTGCTTTGTGACCCTCCTACCGGCTTGTCCCCAAGGGATAATGGGAAGGCCAAGTCCCAGGGGTGTAGTGAGATGAGGGCCTAAAACATAAGCCCATGCAGCATGGGGCTGAGGCCTCGTGACCACTAGACAAACCATGGCAAAGCTAAGCTGTGAGCAACAGGCAGAGCCCTGCTCTCAGGACGTGGCAGGAACAGAGCTGAGAGCAAAAGCCTCCTTGGTAATAGGCCCAGGTGCAGAACAGTCAGTGGTACTGGTCAGTCGTTGAAATCACATGATGTCACTAGCTCATTAGAAAAGATCTTGGCTCCCCCCTTGATACAGACCCAGGTTCAGGAAAGGATGTGGGTGGAGATGCTCTAATTGTGGTGAGATGTTGGGGTTCCTCTGAGCCTGCAGCCCCGTAGCAGCCAAACCAGACTCCAGCAGCCAGAGAATAGAGGGGTTTACTGCTTCTCCCGGATACAGCCCAGACGTGATGTGTCTACAGGAGTCTGGGCCGGGATACCTCAGGCCCCTTGAGATGGGGTGCTTGGGCCCCTAGATTCCAGCCCCCTCCTTAGGCTGGTTCCTTTATGATTCCTGCCCCAGACTGCTCCTTCCCTCAACACTCATGTCCTAGTTCCCTCGCTGCCCTCAACCGGTCAGACCGGTTGGGTCTCAGACAGCCCACCTGCTGGGCAGTGCTCGGGACACTGGCCAGCAGGCGTCACCCACAGCCCAAGCATAGCAACCAGCAAGGTACTGACACATCACACGAATCAAACCACGAGGGTGGGGACCTGACCTGTCAGCAGTGGGGTGGGAGTTGTCTGTACCTGTATATAAGATGGTGTCTTGGGGGGACAGCGGGACCGCCCACCGCTTGAGTCATTCCAGTGTGGCAAGTACACAGGGCCAGTAGAGTCTGCTGCCAGCTGTTACTGTACTTTGCTTAACAATAACCCTGGCCTGGCACCTTTGCTGCTCAGCTGATTTACAGCCTGTGGGGGCTCTCTTGGAGTCCACTAAGTGCACAAGGTGACTCAGCACACACCACAGAGCGCACGCGGAGATGCTGTAACGTAGATTGTGCTGTACTGCCACGTGTGTCCGGTGGTGTTGAAACCATCTGGCAACCCTACCAGTGGTGGGTTTAGAGATCTCTCCGTGCCTCTGGCTCATCAATCGCTCACAACTTGCATGTGACTTTACTAGCTGGTGCCCACCACCAAACAGCCCCTGGTTTTCAGCTTCCACAAGTGGCTGCATCATCGTTCCCAGCAAGGGAGGAGGGCGGGGTAGGCTGGCAGCAGTGGCGAAGGGCGTCTAGACCCACCTGGCCTGCCTCTCGTGTGGGGCACGACGGCTCCTTGTTACAGGGGCTAGTGAGTGGCCGAGAGCAGCTTGTAGCTAATGGGTTCCCCGCCCCCATGCAAAAGTCTTATATTTCCAAGGCTCTGGGCTTGTCGGTTACTCGGAAGGACGGCACAGTGTGGGGGGGAGGCAGGAGCCAGCAGTGTAGAGGCAGCAGTGTGGGGGGGAGGCAGGAGCCAGCCCCCCATGCGTACCCCTCACCCTTATGCTGCTGCGTGGAGGGGGAAGACGTGAGCTGGGCCATTGGCTCCCATGGAGCTGCCTGGGACAGCACTTTCTCCTCCCCCGTATCGGAGGTAGCAGTGCAGGGCAGCAGGTGGGAGTCAATTGTTAAACCGGCTTCCTGCCGCTGGATCCGAGGCAGCAGCGCAGGGTGGCCAGGGGCTCCCCGGGCGTGGGGCCCTGTGAGTACCCGTGTGACCACCAAGGGTTGTGTTAGTAATCGTGTAGTGACAGCCTCTGTAGTTAGGGAGCAGCTTAGCCCGGCAGACGGTGCAGCTGAACTGCAAGGCCCAGCTTGCTGCCCCCTTGCACTTTGGCACACCAGAGCCCCGTGGATGCCTGTCCTGCAGGGCGGCCAGCTGTGGGGCTAGCTGGGACACTGAGGCACAACCCTGAGCTCCTGATGGGTTTCACAGGGAACTGGTGGCCGACTGGTGACTTGCTGCTCGTGTGGTGTGGTCCTGAGTTGGGGGCACAGCTGCAACTCCATGGCACGTGTAGCAGCCAGGCACTTTGGCACACCAGAGCCCCGTGGATGCCTGTCCTGCAGGGCGGCCAGCTGTGGGGCTAGCTGGGACACTGAGGCACAACCCTGAGCTCCTGATGGGTTTCACAGGGAACTGGTGGCCGACTGGTGACTTGCTGCTCGTGTGGTGTGGTCCTGAGTTGGGGGCACAGCTGCAACTCCATGGCACGTGTAGCAGCCAGCGGCCTCCCCTCTCCTCCCCAGCCACCTGGCCTGTGCTGGCTGCAGGTCAAGCCCTCATCCCCTGCAGTGCTGGAGTGGAGGGAGACAATTCTCCCAGCCTG